CCCGATTTGTGTGACTGTGGGCCCTTCTTCGTCGATGTTGGGATGTGATAACGCGTCTGCTATCACGTTGATTCTCGCTAGGGACCCTAGCCTAAGGTATGATCATTCTGACGGTTGTATTGTTGTAGTATGCCAGTCGCGCCAGTCGTCCGTTGGGCGATTGTTGAAACCAGCTTAAGAGCCGCTGATCCGTAGCTACCGTAGTACATAGCTGCAAGCGTCGGTCCGTTTCAAGCTTAATATCATATTAAGCGCCTTCTTGAGAAATAGAAAAGCGTTTCTATCGTAAAAAAACGTAATCATGAGCTCGTACCAAAGCTCCTTCACTGACAGGAATCAACTTCCTATACGAGTGGTTGTACGGTGTATCGCCTTCTCCACAAAAATCGGATTTCTTGGAGGTTAGTTGTATGGCTTGATAGCAATTCTCTGCGGGAATCGCATATTGTTCAATCTTTTGTAGGCTTATTTCTTGAGCGCTAAAGGATGCTACATGGATCTTCTGAATCGCATTTATTTCATCGGTGTTGATCATTGTAGTGTGGTTTAAATTCTCATTGTTTGCTGGTACGATTGTTAGCGCAGTTTTCTTGATCGCTGGTGACCTATGTCTCTGTATAGCGTACCAGGATTCACGCTTACGGCATGTCTTGGCCGTGTGTCGCGGTTTTCTACAAAAGGGGCAGTTTTCCGTCTCTTGTTCAGGCTATTTAGTTCACATCTTTGCGTTGTTGTGACCTGGTGCCTGGGTGTTGATGTGCAGACTGGGCACTGACTCGGGGTGCGCTTGTACTCAAAGGGATAAACATAAAGATATGCAAACATTTTCATTTACCATTTTTGGACGATTACTATTACAAGGGAAGGGAGTAGGCACATTGATAGGCACATTGATTGGTAATGCTCGCGCATCATAAACTTTTCTTCGGACTTCTGTCGAATCATCGAAAAATTTGTAGTAATTGTACTTTCGCACTTTCCGATAACATAGAATTCCTATGGGCGCAGAGTAAATCGAAAAAAAATCGAAAATATAGGCCATGCTTTACTTATTATTATTATATATGATTACTAGCAAACCCGACGAACTCCGTTTCGCCACCAGATGGTTTCGTGAGAAAGATGAAGAAATTTTTTGTTTGTTTTATATTTGAAAAGGAAAAATTTGATTTTATTATACAACAATAATGAATTTATTTCAATTACAAAAATGAAGTGTTTTTAGTTGAACTTCTCTAAGTAAATGAAAGTGAATCCGCAAATTATCCGTTTCATTGAAGTGTTCTCTGGTAAACCACATTTTTTGTTTTTTGGTCTGATGATACCACAAACAAAGCGTATGGTTTTCCAACTTGTGAACAGGCAACGTATAAGTGCCCATGTGAAAAACAATTATTTTCTAAATAATATATTTGAAATTTATCCCGCAAACACTAAGCAAATGGCCCTGAGACTTGTAATTGCGAACGCAAGGCGAACTGCAAATTGCAATCGTTTGATGTCAAATGGAAGACCAGTCGGAATCATTGGTATGTCACCAAATCGCCAGCAATTTTTGATTGAATGGTGAAATTCAGTGCGTGTACATCATTATTCTTTGCGGCAAGAATTGCTCGTTGACTTAACCAAGCATAATTCTGATAATTCTCACTAATGTCATTACTCGAATTTTTAATTACGGTGCGTGAAGTTCCAGCAGCTTGCATTAAGGCACGATGCCATGCACCACTAATTTTCTTGCGGAGCCCGAGACCTTTCCAACGAATGCAAAATTGTCGAAATCGGTTCGTGCGATCTGGAGTTATTTTGTCAGGAAGGAAAACCCGACTTATTTATATATATAGTAGATGACCCGACAGACGTTGTCCTGTACGCACCTCTACGTTTTTTTAATATCCTATACTAATATTTATACCGTTCAGTTAAAAATAATCATTATTGTTTTTCGAGTTACTATTTACACCAATATATGAGTGATGTTAAATGTAGTACTGTTTCAAATAAAATGACTTATCTCAATTCCAACAGTTAACACTTTAATTATCCCTTTAACAAATATTAAAATATGTTCAATAGAATTATATATTAAAAATTATACACTGCAAATTTATTTCCAATAGCTCAATTTATTTTAATGCCAAGGATTATACAATTTTTCAGTCATACCTGTAGATGTGGATGTATAAATGAATGATTTTTATTTATTCACGGCTAAAACATTGATTCCAAATTTATCACCATGTATTTATTGTCATACCATAGATACACGTGTTGAAAATTAAAATCTTTTAAAAAGTATAACAAATTCAGAAAGAATTAATATATAGCATGCGGTCAAGGTACAATATCACTTCGGATTTTTCTACGCAAAATAATTGCTTCAATAATGTTGCCTACAATTTTTATAATTTCGTACCATATTTTATGTGGCTTTTAGTATTTTAATATCTAAATTGCATTTTTCACACTAATAATTCAATATACATTATTACTTAAGTTCATATTTGAAGTGAATTAATTTGTCAAATACTGTTCAAATGTGCTCTATTCAACCTACTATCAACAAAATTATTGCAGTAAATGGAGAGGAAAAAAGCGTATGCCCAGCTAATCTTAATCTAAAGTTCAGAAGTGAAAACAATTTGCATTTCGTAACCACCCCCTGCATTAATTGGATTATAACTCTTTTAATTCTGATTTTATCATAACTTGTAATATACTATTTTAAAGGTGATTAAATCAGCTACAACTTTTTCTATCATAAATTTTACCGTAACTTCTCTTATTTTGAAACGGCGAAGGGTTAAAGGGCTCGAAAGACACTCCGGTTGGACAGCCGCGCACTCTTTAAACAATTAGAACTCTATCAATATTTGTGTAACAAAAAAATGATAAAAACCAATAACCAGTCTGAAAAATATCTTGAATTTTTATATATATACTTTTATACGTATTCTTTCAGAGATATTATAATGAGAAATTGGTTGTTTTATTTAATGGATTTTTTTATGAAATCATGAGTTTTTTGAAAATCGATTATACTAATGTTATGGTATTTTCTAGAAACCATCAAGATCTCTCAAACCAAGTTAATTCTAGATGGAAAACGATTATTTTTAATTTTGGTGGAAATGGCACTCATAAACTATTTGATTTAAATGAAAAAAAAAATTGTATGCATCTTTTAATTGCATGATAGCTCACTCATTTTACACGCAGAAGTACTTCTTTTAAAGCTTATTTTGAGAACTATAAAAACCCATTTTCATAATTAACTTAATATTGTTCCTAGAACACTTTAAAAATTAAAAAAAAATTAAAATAGCGATTTATTAGGATTTTTATTGATATAATTTTGTTCATTACATGATTTTCGTTAAAATGTATATTTTTGAAGATATTAGCAAAAAACAATAAAAAAAGGCAAAAAAGAAACAAATTTTCAGTAGCCAGTAACTTGAAAAGTATTTGCTTTTTTGTAAAACATTATTAAACATTTTTCTCTTATAATTAGTTCTTTTATCCACAGCCAACGTTATTACACCACTGAAAAGAAATGGCATCCCCACGGGTAGTGCAAAGGAGTCTAAATTGTTTTCCCTTTTGAACTTGAGAGTAAGATGAACCTAATTCCAAACGAATTGGAAAACAGTAAAAAAAAGTTCAGACCCAAAGCGCTCCATTGAGTAAATATTCCGTACAAAGAGCCAACCATATGAATTTTTGACACAATGGTCTGACAATCTAATAATTTTTTGAATAAGTAATTTTTTTTGTATTGTGACATGATTGTGACTTAGTATAGTAAGGCAAAACGACTGCAAATTGAATATTTTTGAGTGCAATCACTTATGGCTCGTCTTCTTTGCACGAATTCGTACGGCAAATCTGTTCGCAAAGTGCGCAAACAAAATTATTGCAAGCAAAAGCAAAGCACGCGTACGTTGAGAACACGATTCGCCGTGCGCGTCAGACGCATGCGCAGACTGTAGACGCCTGTTATATTATTTGCATCTTATATTAATTTAATTTTTGGCACATCTCAGCTGCTTTTCGGCAATAATAATGTAGACATTACATTTTCCTTATTTATAATCATGAATTTATTATATTTTAATATTGCCTTAGCCTATAAGTGAATAGAAATGTTTGGAAAATGACAGTTGTCATTTGTTTTTAATGTCAAACCATGCCTTAAATATTTTAAAGGTTAAACAATGATAAGCGGTTTTTTGTAATTTTTTCCATTTATATCTACAATCTAACTATATTTCTATGAATCAAAACATTCTAGAAAATTTCCCGAACAAACTTCAGAAAGATTCATGAAAATCCGAATTATAGTTTAGGAGGTTTAATGAAACTTACATTGTTACAGAAGAATTTTATATATAAGATATAGAAGATAATATACAATTATTAATACAGTAAAACTCCATTTATCCGAACTCCGACTATCCGAACTCCAATTATCCGAATCACTTTCAGAAAAAAATTGTCCAAAAAAAGTCTAAGTGCGCTATTATTCCTCCACCAGCAAAGCCAGTGTGTAGGCACATTGTATGTTTTGATTTGACGGAGATGTTTACAAAACAATGATTTTTATTTCTAAACTTGTACATTTTTTTTAACTCGTTTAAGTACATTTTATTTATATTTAAAACATGTGAAAATGTCATGTTTCTTTCATTTAATTCAATAAAAATATAGTGCAATATCAAAACGTAACTTTTTTTCTCTCCAATGGCAATTTTTTTAAAAAAACTCCGATTATCCGAATATTTGATTATCCGAATGGGTCCCGGTCCCCATTAATTCGGATAATTGGAGTTCTACTGTATTACATAAAATGTATATGTATTGAAAATAACGAGAAAAATTATACATATCGCATAGAATAGCATAAGATTTAGCATCGCGCTGTGCATTTAGACATCTATACAATTACTTTGTAAATGTTCATTTCTAAAATATGTTTACAATTTTCATTTATATTTTAGCGGAGTAATAGTTCCTGGTGGCTTTGGGTCAAGAGGCATGGAGGGTAAGATACTAGCTTGTCAGTGGTGTCGTGAGATGAAAAAACCTTTTCTAGGAATATGTCTAGGTCTGCAAGCCGCTGTTATAGAGTATGCAAGAAATGTCTTGAAGTTGAAGGTTTGGATATTTATTATCTTGTGTATTATTTTTTCTCTATTTACATTTTGTTATAAGATTTTTAATAATTAATGAAGCCATAGTTTCAGTTGTAGGAAAACAGTTTTTTAGTTTAATTTTTGTTATTTTGTATAATAAAAATAATTTATCTTTTTATTTAACTTCCAGAGCCTTTACTAATAAATCCGATTTGTTGGTTTTGTTTTTTGACGTTTCAAGTCATTTACGTCTGATACGAAAATAGGAAAACGTATGTGTATGTCTGTATGTGTATATGTAAATAGGATGAAATTTCATCTATTGTTGGCATTGTCTCAAAAACGGCTGCGCCGATTTCAAATACTCTAAAGCTATTTCTTGATAGTCCATAAGTATTTGCCTTTATCATATAGTTTGTTCGATCGATTTCATGAAGCATTTTATGAATTCCGGGCAAGTTACCGATTTTTGCGGCAATTATCTAAGTTTTGAAAAAATGGCAACGTTAGAGTATACAAAGTTTTTTATTCAATGATGTATAATATTCACTTAATTCATTGTTAATATTTATTAAATAGAAATAAGTTATAGGTAAATGATTAGCAAACTTTGTTATACATATACCTGTAATTCACTCATAAATTAATATGTTCTGATTCATTTTATCTTATTGATTGATCTTATCGGAATGTTGCTACAAGGCAAAATACCAATTGCACCTGGCAGTATCCATTACTTTCCATATTATGATGTACAAGTGTTAAGAATTCCGAGTTTCTTATAGCACGATTACCAACAACGCGATAGCAGGTTTTGCAACACGAATCAACTTGTACGTTTTTCCTCGTTTTTTATAACACGGTTCTTTTTATTACGCGGTATTACAATTCCAAGTGATTCAGAATGAAAATGGTTAACAAACACCGACTTACTTGTTTATTTCGGAAATAAAGTTTTCTCTTTTACTATAAATTAATGGATGCAATCTACAAATACTAATTAGATTAAAAAATGTATAATTTAAATCCCAATATTCCAAAGTTTAATAATTGAGCTCAGCCCATTAAAGTTAATTAAATAAAATTAAATCACTTATCGCAGTCCCTTAAAATTTATACTAGTTTAGATTACGTAACCAAATCTCCGCCGGGCTCGGAACGGAATAAGGTCTTGCAATAAATGCAAGTTGATTCTTCTTTTTACTAGTGGAAATTTTTCTCTATTTTTAGCAATTATTTTTTGTATATTAGTTAAAAATCAATCTTCTTTGACAGGTTTATATTTTTTTCTTGGTCTATACATACTTGTGAAATGGTACTATGTCATTTTGTCCATTGCACAAGTATGTCATTTTATCCGAAATTGAACGAAAACGAATAATTTATGAAAATTCGACTAAGAATATGATTATTGCAATAAAATTGTTCGAAATCGCTGAAACTGACATAATTTTTAATTGATTTTAATTGAAATAATTTCGAATATCAATAAATAGATCAGCAAAGAAACATGAGAAAAACACCTTGAAAATAAACTTTTCAAGGCGCGAAGCACTTTTAAACTGGTTACTCCGACAAGACAATGGCGCTCAACATCTGACAGGATTATATTATTTTTATTATATTATTATATTATATTATATTATTTCATGTTATACTGTCGCGGAAACGTCATTTAGTTCCTATTTCCCAAAGTCATAGACATGTCACAAATTTTTATTCTTCATATTTTGTAATTTTATATTTTTATGTAAATTTTTAATCATCATTCTAGCAACTTAAATGCAGCTGATACAATATCTCAAAATTATTTTTAAAAGTATGAGTTAGAAGAGCGGGCGAAAAACTTAAATATAGAATAAGACGAAACACCATTACATGAACTTAAACTTAAGTGATGAAATTCCGTGTTTGTATAAGGATAAATATCAAAGTGAAGTAACTTCATAATATTGAAAAAACAGCTGTCAGACTCTGAAAATTTAGTTTGAGTTCTAACATTCTTTTTCAAACAAGTCAATAAAAAAAGAAAGTTAAAATTCTTCTTCAAACCTTTAAAATTATCTAATTTCATGTAGCAATCATCTTAATTTTCATTGCCTTTCTAAATGAAAACTATGTGGCCTGTGTTTAAAATAAATATTTGTAATAAATTTACTAATAGGAATTACATTTTTTCTTCCAGAATGCTAACACAACTGAAATGGATCCAACGACAGATGATGCCATAGTCATCGACATGCCTGAACATCATACTGGTACATTGGGCGGAACAATGCGCTTGGGAAAGCGTACTACAATATTCAAAAATGAAGATTCATTGCTAAGTATGTGTATAGCATCATGTTTTGCTTTATGTAATAGGTTTATCGAATATTATATTTCATATTTGTATTATAGAGAAATTATATGGTGGAAGAAATGAGATTCAGGAGCGACATCGCCATCGCTATGAAGTTAATCCTGCCTATGTGGCTCGATTGGAGGAGAAGGGCTTGAAATTTGTTGGTAATATTGTTAAAATATATAAATATTATATTTGCTTTCAGATTTGAATCGCATTCTAAATTTACAGTTTATTGAAATTTGCAGGACATGATTCAGAAAAAGTGCGAATGGAAATTATTGAATTACCAAGTCATCCTTTCTATGTAGGAGTTCAATATCATCCTGAATATTTATCTAGACCGCTAAATCCTTCCCCGCCATTCCTGGGATTAATTTTAGCATCTATTGGACAATTAAATAATTACATTGCTCATGGTTGCCGACTATCTCCTAAAAATTTGTCAGATGAATCAGAAGGCAAGTTCTTAGTTGCTAATATATAAAACGTATTTATGGCTTAGGTAACAGTTTATATATACATTCAGGCATACTTGTACCACACACACACACACAAATATATTTATTTTATTTTAGTGATATGGATTCTTCAACAGAGTATCTTATTTTGATCCCTAGAAACCGAAAATCATATGTGCTAAGCGTCTTTTTTGATCTATACAAATCGACCCGCCATATATATATATATATATATATATATATATATATATATATATATATATATATATATAACAAATGTATTCTGAGTGGATAATAGATATTAATTTGGAAATATGAACAAACAACACTCTTCTTGCACTAATTTATTAAATAATAATTTTCACAAACGTTTCGAGACTAGGTTTGTCTCATCATCAGTGTGTTATAATTAAAAAAATTTAAAATATGGAAATCTAAATAATGTTCTGTTTTTCATTACAAGTCGTTCACTGCACGCTGCTCTTTTAATACCAACTGTCTTCGGTATTCGTATTCTCTCCTACTTGAAAACCACTTGAAATTGTAAAGTCACTCAATCAGATAGGAAAGAAAGGATTAGGGTCCAGTTGAAAAATAGATGTCGTTAGGAGAAAAAATATTCTATGATGAGATGGTTTGTTTATAAGATTTGTTATACATTGTTATAATTAAAAGTGTATGTACATCTATATATAAGCTACAAAGTATGAATGAGATTCAGATATGTATCATGTAATATATTGGTATCTGTCCGTAAATTTACTGTGTTACTTGTATGGGCTATTAACATCGATTCTGCAATACTTCTTTTAAATAAATCTTGTTCATAATATAAAATGTGCGGATTATTGAAATCGAAACTATGGCTGTTAGAGATAGCGTGGTCTACAAGTGTACTTTTTTGTTGTATGTTATTATTCTTACTTTGTTTGCTTTGTAATTCGTGCTGTCTTAATCTTTTTTCTAAATTTTGACATGTTTGCCCAATATAAGATGACTCACAGTTCAAACAGTTTATTTTGTACACCACATCTTTTCTTTTTTTAGTAGGTGTATTGTCTTTAATGTTTGTGTATATGTCTTGCAGTTGTAGTACAACTACAAGACATATACACAAACATTAAAGACAATACACCTACTAAAAAAAGAAAAGATGTGGTGTACAAATTAAACTGTTTGAACTGTGAGTCCGTGTGTGAAGTCAGTTGTAGTACAACTACAAGACATATACACAAACATTAAAGACAATACACCTACTAAAAAAAGAAAAGATGTGGTGTACAAAATAAACTGTTTGAACTGTGAGTCATCTTATATTGGGCAAACATGTCAAAATTTAGAAAAAAGATTAAGACAGCACGAATTACAAAGCAAACAAAGTAAGAATAATAACATACAACAAAAAAGTACACTTGTAGACCACGCTATCTCTAACAGCCATAGTTTCGATTTCAATAATCCGCACATTTTATATGATGAACAAGATTTATTTAAAAGAAGTATTGCAGAATCGATGTTAATAGCCCATACAAGTAACACAGTAAATTTACGGACAGATACCAATATATTACATGATACATATCTCAATCTCATTCATACTTTGTAGCTTATATATAGATGTACATACACTTTTAATTATAACAATGTATAACAAATCTTATAAACAAACCATCTCATCATAGAATATTTTTTCTCCTAACGACATCTATTTTTCAACTGGACCCTAATCCTTTCTTTCCTATCTGATTGAGTGACTTTACAATTTCAAGTGGTTTTTAAGTAGGAGAGAATACGAATACCGAAGACAGTTGGTATTAAAAGAGCAGCGTGCAGTGAACGACTTGTAATGAAAAACACAACATGCTAATTTAGATTTCCATATTTTAAAATTTTTTAATTATAACACACTGATGATGAGACAAACCTAGTCTCGAAACGTTTGTGAAAATTATTATTTAATAAATTAGTGCAAGAAGAGTGTTGTTTGTTCATATTTCCAAATATATATATATATATATATATATATATATATATATATATATATATATATATACTAGCAAACCTGACGAACTCCGTTTTGCCACAAGATGGTTTCGTAAGAAAGATGAAGAAATTTTTTGTTTATTTTATATTTGAAAAGGAAAAATTTGATTTTATTACACAACAGTAATGAATTTATTTCGATTACAAAAATAGTGTTTTTTAGTTGAACTTCTCTAAGTAAATGAAAGTGAATCCGCAAATTATGCGTTTCATTGAAGTGCTCTTAAACCACATTTTTTGTTTTTTGGTCTGACACAAACAAAGCGGATGGTTTTCCAACTCGTGAACGGGGAACGTATAACTGCCCATGTGAAAAACAATGATTTTCTAAATAATCTATTAGAAATTTATCCCGCAAACACTAAGCGATTGGGTTTGCGACTTGTTATTGCGAACGCAAGGCGAACTGGAAATTGCAATCGTTTGAAGTCAAACAGAAGACAGGTCGGAATCATTGGTATGTCACCAAATCGCCAGCAATTTTTGATTGAATGGTGAAATTCAGTGCGTGTACATCATTATTTTTTGCGACAAGAATTGCTCGTTGACTTAACCAAGTATAATTCTGATAATTCTCACTAATGTAATTCCTCGAATTTTTAATTACGGTGCGTGAAGTTCCAGCAGCTTGCATTAAGGCACGATGCCATGCACAACTAATTTTCGGCGATCTTAATATCGTTTGGCAATTCATTATATATTTTACTAGCGCTCAATATGACATTTCCTCTCAATTTCTTCTTTCTATTGTGTTCAATGTGATAATTGCTGTGTTGTCTAGTGTAGTGTTCATGTATATCTTGAATTCTGCCTATTGTTGTACTTGTTTTAATTTTATTATATTTCATTTTGTGTATTATTTGCATTTCTCTACTTTTATTATGTTGTTTAGTTGTTTAGTTTCTGTTTGTAAGTACTTGGTGGGTGTCAAGTGTGGAAGATTATACGATATTTTTATGGCTTTATTCATTATTATCTGTATGTCATTTAAGTTAGCTTTAGTTGTTTGACTCCAAGTATTTATTCCATATAAAATTATGGGTATTATATGTGCTTTTAAAATCAATATCTTTTTTTTTTTCGAAAGAATGGATTCGTTTTAAAGCTCCTGTTAATGCCGCTATCTTCTTTTTAATTTCATTTATATGGTTTGTCCATGTTAGCTTTTCGTGTATTATAAGGCCCAAGTATTTTATATATTTCACTTCTTCTATTTCTGTATTATTTATTTTAATGTTTATTTTAGTAAATTCCTTACACTTTTTCCAATGTTGATCGTTAATTTATTTTCAATTAGCCATTCAGAATATAATTTCATGTCTTTGTTAATAATTTCTTCTAATATTTTTTCATCTTTGTCTGCATAGACTATGGCAGTATCATCGGCGTTATAGCATGTACGAGGTCTGTTCAAAAAGTACCCGGAATTTTCGTTTTTTCAAAAAAATATTTATTTATTCGTCTACATTAATGTGGTCCCCTTCAAAGTAGTCCCCCCCAGATATAATACACTTATGCCAGCGTTTTTTCCAATTTTCGAAGCACCCTTGATATTCACTTTTTGATATGTCCTTGAGCACTCTCGGCGATTTTCTTCAATCGAGGAAAACCGCCGTCCTTTCATGGGTCTCTTCAACTTTGGGAATAGGAAAAAGTCACACGGAGCCATATCTGGTGAATATGGAGGTTGGGGCATGACTACGGTATTGTTTTTGGCCAAAAAATTACGAACAAGCAACGACGAGTGAGGAATTTTGGAATGAATTTTGCTGCCACTCGTTTCATGCCCAAAACATTTGAAAAAATGTTATGACATGAGCCAATTGATATGCCAACTTCATCAGCAACTTCTCTAATTGTGATTCGGCGATCATTCATAACCATTTTTTCCACTTCTTTCACATTTTCATCGTTTGTTGACGTGCTGGGTCGACCGGAGCGTTCGTCATCTTCAACGTCTTCGCGGCCATCTTGGAAACTTGTTTTTTTCATAGCAGACTCACCATAGGCTTTTTGTAACATTTCACACACTTTGTTACACTTTATTTCATTTTTTACGCAAAATTTAATACAAATTCTTTGACTTTTCAATTCTTCCATTGTAAAAATCGCCGAGCTCAGAAAAACACGTCGAACTTAGCGACTACCACAGACAAAGTAAACAGTGAATATAGCTGAAAATTTCATCATACTTTAGGGGCATGTATACCAACACAATAAAAAAAAAATTTGACAATCAGACACTCCAGACCCGCGAAATTTAAAAATTCCGGGTACTTTTTGAACACACCTCGTATTTTCCCATCAATTTTGTCTCTTGAAGATTGTTTGTATAGATGAGATACAGTGAAGGTCCTAGAACTGGTGGGACTCCACAGTTTACTGTGCGTCTGTCACTTGCCACGTTATCAACCATGGTCTTTACTTGTCTTTCTGATAGGAATTCTTTGATAATGCTAAGTGACAAACTCTCTAATCCCAGCTCTATTAGTTTCATAATTAATATATTATGATCCACCGTATCAAAACCTTTTGTAAGTCTATGAATATCGCTACTGTATGCTTATTTTCTTCAAGGTGCTCACTTATGGTATTAGTTAAATCCATCAATGCACCTTGAGTATTTGATGACGGTAAAAAAACATATTGATTTTTGACAATTTTTTTAATGAGAAAATTAAGTAATCTTTCTTTTATTACTTTTTCATATATATTGGAGAATATGTTATTGTTATGGGTCTGTAGTTATTTGGATCTGTTTTGTTTCCTGTTTTAAAAATTGGTTTTATTGTAGCCATTTTAAGGCACGATGGAAATACACCACATTCTGTGTATCTATTTATTAAAACAGCAAGTATTGGAGCTATTAGATTTATTATTTTTTAGTGTTAGTTATTATTTTGTTTCTTTTGTCTTTCCCAGGTGCAGCGTTATTTTTCAGATTTTCAACAATTTTT